TCTTCCACTTATCTAGAGGTAACTGGCCTCTCCAAAAATAACTGGCACATTTCCAAGAACCTCACCTACCTTTCAAACCCCAAGGCCAACTGTGCTGTGGGCCCCTGATCACGCTGACCGGCGACCTGGCTGGGCCGGCCTGCACCAGCCGGCCATCTCCCTCTCTTCCTTCAGGGTGACTTCAGCGCAACCTCGCCAACTCGCCGAGAGAGAGCTGGCCACTCACTCACTCCCTGACTCGGGGACGCAACACACCACTCGCTCTCAAGATTAATCCGCTCCTCAGTCCTGGCCTGACTAACCATGGCCAAGCTTCAAATACGCATCCTCAGACTAACTCAGTGAGCGGTAACAACAGGATCTGCAGGTTCTGTTCCCACCTGGCCCACAAGGTCACACCCACCTGCCCTGCCCAAGGTACAGAAATTCCACCCGTACTCTATTGTTTCCCAGAATCAACTCACCACCCACCCACCTGATCGAGGGACCCACTTCTGCTGTGCCCTGGGAGATTTATGCACGACTTGTAGCGTGTTGGTTCTTGACCCTTTGAAGGTCCTTTCTGCGTTCAACCAAAGGGACAGAGACTCCAGTTCAGGCTCCTGCAGCAAGGGAAATTCTTGCCTCCTCCCCAGTTACCATTGTCTTCTGACTCCAACTCCCCCAACAGTTTCCCCAGAATGAATTTTGTCTGTGTCTCATTGTCACACATACATGGCACCTGCATGCTTCACCTGCTAGGCTCTAGCCAAGTTTGGGGTGGAGTTTGCACAATGCTCCACTGGCACCTTACCCAGAGCCTCTGGATAAACCCAGCAGACCCTGGAGCCCAGGGTTGAGACACCTGCCCCAGCCTTGCCTAGGGACTCACGGCCCCACAGCCTGGGAGGAGGAAAAAGTGCAAAGTGGAGGCATTGGCTACCCCACGAAATAGCTGAAACAGGCCCAGGAAGTGGGGTAGGAAGTCTCATAAGCGAAATAAAAATGAAAAAAAAAATAAAAATAAAAATAGAGCCCCCGTGGTAGTGCAAAGGTTTAATGCACAGCAGTACTAAGCTGGATGCAGCCGCTTCAGCACAAGTGCGATCCCTGGGCCCAGAGGGGACCCACGTGGCACAGCAGACTGCTCCTGACCCGCCCGCTGCTCCTCTCAGCAGTGTGCTTGGTCCATCTGCCTGTTCTGCTCCCCACTCTGTCTCTGGTGAAGCCTCTCACCGCCCCTGCACCTCTGGCCTGTACCCCAGTTCTGTGTGCACAAATATTTTTTTAAAAAATGAACAAAATCTGAAACAACACAAAAGACTTGCCATTCCTTTTAAGCACTGGCAATTAATTCCATGTTAGATATTCACAGGAGTGCAGGCACTCCTCTGTCCAAACAAGCTGCAGAGACAGCTGTAGTGTTTGAACCCTGAAACCTGTGTAAGCACAGAGATTTTTTTTTTTAACCAGCGTTCAAACAGCACCAGTTTCTCAAATGACTTTCTAATGGGTTCACGGTTGCTTTTCATGTTGAAATTGAAAAATCAAAAGTGACTTAACAAGACTTCAAGAAGCTTTCTGTGGGAAATGGCTACAGAGAAAGTTGCCTTTCAACCTGATGTTTACACAATGGGTCCCAACTCACCAAAAGAGTTTTTCTGGCTCAGAGTGTTAAAGACAATAAAAAGCCAAAGCCCACCATCTCCAGATGATGCTCACAGTTCCTAAACTATGTGCTCAAGCGGACTCGAAACATTACCAGGGGAGCGCTGAGCAACTGACATTTACTTACCTCAGACGCATTTTGGGGTGACAAGGGGGCCCTTTTAGACAAAAGACAACTGAGATCATGAGAAAAGACCTGCAGGAGTGCCTGGAACATCTCCATGGCTCAAAGCTCAGGGCAAATTCCTGTTTCCTCTCTAGGCTGCCTTACAAAGGCTTGGGTGGAAGCCACTGTGAAAGCTTTCCTCCAAGTGTCCCTTCTCGCTCCAGAAGTCTCCCATCACCCAGGAAAATAACAATGCACTTTGGCAGGGGGTGGGGGGAGAGGGTAGGTGGCCAAGGAGGAAGGCTCACCAGGCCGGATGCTGCCCGGACACCCCCAGCCCCCCGCACCCCGGGACTGAGCCCTCTGTAAACGCCCACCGGGCTTTGACCCTGGAGAATATGGCTTCTTCCTCCTACCCCATCAGGAGAAAACAGAGGCCTTCAGAGGAAGACATTACCCCGACAAACTTAGACAGCTGAGAACCGGTGACTGCTCTCTGGCTGTGGAAACACCCAAGGAACACAACCAGACCCAGACCCCAACAACAAGGAGACCCTGGGTCAATCGACATCAGATTTGAACGGAATATCACAAGACGTTTCGTGAGCTGAGGTCACCAGACAGGCCAGGGAGTGGACACAGAGACGGAGGTCACTTTCTTGACAGAAACCCAAAGATTGTTTTCCCCTCAGTCATTCAGATAGCGCCTCCGGTGGTCATCCACGCCTCACCACAGCAGTCCCATGAACTAGGACATGTGCGCACACGGTGCCAGGCTGGAGAAAAGCCTGGCTTCCATAGCAGGAGCCAGAGCCGAGGGCCTCCCTGTGGCACAAGGGTTAAGCGCAGCACTATGAACCTGTCTGCAGCTACTACAGCGTGAGTTCAATCCCCAGCCAGGGAGCTGACCCCCATGGCGCAGCAGACCTCTCCTGACCCCCGGCAGCTCCCCACAGCAGTGTATTTCAGTCAATCTGCCTGTTCTGCTCCCCGCTCTGGCTCTGGTGAATCCTCTCACTTCCCCCCACACCTCTGGCCTGTACCCCAGTTCTTGTATGCATAAAAAAAATCTTTAAAAAAATAAAGATGGGGCCCTCCCTGGTGGCGCAGCGGGTTGAAGCCCAGCACTGAGAAGCTAAAGCCACTTCCCCATGAGTTCGATCCCCGCCTGCCCCGGAGGTGACCACATGGCGCGGCAGACCTCTCGTGACCCGCCTGCTGCTCCCCTCAGCAGTGGACTTCGTCGATTTGCCTGTTCTGCTCCCCGCTCTGTCTCTGGTGAAGCCTCTCACTGCCCCTTGAACTAGGACATGTGCCCACACGGTGCCAGGCTGGAGAAAAGCCTGACTTCCATAGCAGGAGCCAGAGCCGAGGGCCTTCCTGTGGCACAAGGGTTAAGCGCAGCACTATGAACCTGTCTGCAGCTACTACAGCGTGAGTTCAATCCCCAGCCAGGGAGCTGACCCCCATGGCGTGGCAGACCTCTCCTGACCCCCGGCAGCTCCCCACAGCAGTGTATTTCAGTCAATCTGCCTGTTCTGCTCCCCGCTCTGTCTCTGGTGAATCCTCTCAGCTCCCGCACCTCTGGCTTGTACCCCAGGTCTGTATAAATAAATCTTTAAAAAAAAAAAAAAGGGAAAGAAGGACCAGAGCCTCTCTGCCTGCCTGCTGACATCCTTAAAACACAGCCTGTCCCTGCACACATGTGATGTGATCGACCTCAGAAGCCAAACTAAAACTTAATGTCAATGTCCATGGTGAAATAAATATTCTGAACATGTACATTTAAGTCATTATGAAGAATAGTGATGCTTGCCTAATCCTGTATATTGTTTATAAAGCAATTGTATCTTTCATCCTCTAATCTCTACTTTTCAACTACAGTAAATGTGCTATTGGAAGCCAACGTGAGAGGTCAGCTACAGATTTGCCTGTGTCCTCCACCACAAAAGAAGAGTATTTTTCCTTACCAGACCACAGAGGCATCTTTTATGCCCTACAGGATCATGCAGAAAGTTAGAAGGTTTGTATACGGACACGACATTACTTCTAGTTTTTTCTCCTTCAGTTGTTATTTCAGAGCGAAGGTAAAAAGTGAAATCCAGGCGCAGTCTACGTTAGAATTATTCTGAAGGACCTTGGGCACGTCTCTTAAAATTTACAAAAACAGGGCCCTCCCTGGTGGCGCAGCAGGTTAAAGCACAGCACTAAGAAGCTAAAGCCACTGCAACATGAGTTCGATCCCAGAGCTGACCCACATGGAGCGACAGACCTCTCCTCACCTGCCCACTGCTCCCCTCAGCAGTGTAGTTCATTGATCTGCCTGTTCTGCTCCCCACTCTGTCTCTGGTGAAGCCTCTCACTGCCCCTGCACCTCTGGCCTGTACCCCAGTTCTGTATGCACA